GCCTCTGAATATACAGTTAGCATTAACAAACTACTCAACCTCAGTTAGTTTAGCAAATGCTAATCCACTCTCCAGGAATTCAAATGAGTAGTTCTAGGTAAGTTAAGTTAAAACTTCCTATTTATTAGCCGTTTTACTATTATTTTTATATTTTGATAGATGGTATATAGTTTATTTTAGGTTTACATGCATAATTTGTGTAGAGTAAATTTTCAGTAGGCAAGAGTTTCTTAATTACTTTGGTTTTCTAAAAAATGTGGTTTTCTCTCTGAATGACATAATTAATATTTAATATCATTACTTGCTAAATTTTCTCAAAATTCCTACTAGTTTAAATTTCTTTTTTAATAACATTTGGTTTTACTGGTTTTTGAATTTTACTATACCCTTGCCTATATGGTGACGAAACACGAATTGAGTAATTGAAGAGTTAGGTTTGAAGGCAACTTCCCCTTGTTAAGTCTGTCTCCTACCTGCTCAACAATTATTCACTTATGCAAATTAATTTAGTCTTAAAAATTCATTAAAAATTTTTTGAGATTAATTTTTTGGAATTTTATAGTTTTCATGGCTTTAGATATGTGCACTTAATTTACATATGCTCTTAGAATTTAAATGATATTGTAAATTAGTTCGCAGCAATAATTAATTTATTATTAATTTTTACTTATTTATTTATTTTTTAATTTTTGCATTTAAAATTTCTTAATTAAATTTTTATTTATATTAGCTTTTTGCAAATAGAGAATATTTGTTTCATTCAAATTTCATTCCTTGCAGCAATGGCCTGAGAGAATTATTTAAATTTAATTTAACTTTACTATATTCTTGTGAAACACACACACATATATATATAATGTATTATCACATCATGCAATGTATGTCTGCAATAAACTTGCAAACATACACATAATTAGTTAACATAACAGTGTTATATTAGTAACATGATATGAAGAAATATTAGTAGAAGAAATGTATTTCTTCCGGCCGTTTTTTTTCCACGGTTTCTTCTGATGTGGAAGATATTTGTCAACCTTGCACAAAATACAAAGAATACGTGCAAAATTTATGTTTAGGGTAAAAATAGAAAGAGTACAGATCTGAACTGTGGTATAATACTAGGAATGCCATTTATTGAAAGCTTCCAACAATGTTTTCCTGTAGATATAGTATCGGAAACTCCGGACTGTTAATAATAATAATATGTGTATTTGTTGGTTTTATGTATTTTAGCAGCAATAAATTGTATCTTTGTTGAGCTTAATATGTGCGATTGAAAGAGTTATCAAACTAAATTACCCTCGTTTACATTCCTAAAATTAATAAAAAATCTTTCTTGTTTTAAGAATAGTGAGTTTCTCTTTCTGTGTCCTTCAGTAACCCATAATTATCTACTTCCGCTATCAAAAAGTTATTCAGTCCATGTTTAACTCTTATTTTTATGTCAACCAAACAATATATATTAGCTACCAGTTTTTACCAGCAACATTCTCTGTCGTTGTTAATGCTATTGTTTCAGAAAGGAGAAGTTTTGCTTTATTCTTACCATATATTTTTCCTCTATATACTGTTTTGATCAGCGTATCGTATCTGCTCTTGACCTATTATCTAAGGAAAACATTCGACTTCAGATGCTGGTTTTAATTATTATTGTAATTGTTGTAAGAAATTATGGCGTATAACACCTGATTCATTCACCTGCATATGCGCCTATATTTCACTAAAAGCGTCTTATTTTGTTTTATTAATATCAGTGTTTTCTCGCATGCTATTTTTTCATTTATTTCAGTTTTTAATTTTATAAGCATATTAATTTCTTTTGCAGCGAGCATTGTCACATGAGTTTTCCAAAATAATTTATAAGATGGGTTATGGGGATAAAAAATCACTTCGTTGAGTGAGAAAGTGTTTTCTTTGATCTGTTTTTTTTTTTTCGTCGTATGCAGCATTTTATTATTGAAGTAAGTAATTTTCGTTTATAGCAGTCAGTATTTCATGATATATGATTTTTAAAGCACAATATATAAATGAAGAAGCGCTTTTTATTTCTTTTCTAACCAATACTGTTATGCATTTTTCATTCGTGTCAATATTTGATTATAAAAGTTTGACTTTTAGCGCATAAAAAAAAATTGAATTTTTATTGTATTGTAATTTTTATTGATACACTATCAAGCACGTAGGTAAGAGTTTGACAATTAATTTTAGTGATAACTAAACTAATAGCAGTAGTTAGTAGTCGGTACCCGTATATGAATTCTCAGGAGATCACGATAATTGAAAGCTGCTTCTCCCTTACCATTTTGCTTGATTGTTCTTTTTTTCCCCCCATTTTCCATGTCGTTGTAATCTCGATACTATAGAACGAGTAAATCCATATTCTCGAATTGCTTCTGTATTTGAGTAATCCATATGTCTAGCACCTACTATTTATCATTTATTGTAAGTGTCTAAATCGCGTGGTTTACTCATCATGATATTTTTAAAAATTTCGTAGAGAGCACATCCAGCTGTATAAATACTGTGCAGCTGTGCAGAAAGTATGTGCTGTGCAGCTGTGCAGAAAGTATGTGCTGTGCAGCTGTGCAGCAGTATTTCAGCTGTGCAGAAATGAAGCAGCAGTGTCGTAATATTTGTGTAATATCTCTCTATACTAATTCAATACATCCTTAGTTATTGCTTTGATAATTTCCTTGAAACACTACAAAGTTTAAACTCGGTTTGAATGAAAACTTAGACTCTAGTTTAACATTCTAGATTGCCAAACGAATTTCTGGCACGTCTTTTCCTGTCAGTACCAAAGTACTAAGTAAATACAGTAATATAAGACAACTAAAGATTTATTTTGAATTTGTTTTCGAAGTTACACAACTAAACTGATTTAATAAACTGTACTACCGTTATTTACGGCTGAAGCGAGGATATATTTCACATATCTAGAGGTCAAGGTTTAAAAATAGGGATGGGTGATCCTCTCTGGAACTGACTCAAATAACCAATTCATGATCCGCTCTCGAACTGAATGATCTGCTCTCAAACGCTAATCATGATGATCATCTCAAACGTTGATGATTCACGATCCGGAGGGGCGGGGGATCGAAAGAATGATCCACTTTCGAATTGATTCACAGAACCGATTATCACTTTAATGCTATCGCATACTGCTAACATGAGAAAAAATCAACTTTTAGGGTTCTTAATACATATATATTGTATTAAATGTATATCTCTTTTGCAAAACTGTAAAATCAGAATGTTGTTAAACCGAATGATGATGCTTAATTCATTTAAAAATCCAGTTCTCGAATTTTATTAAGAAACAAACGATGTAATCGTTATTCATAAGTGAAAAGAAAAATGTTTACAGAAAGAACATAAAGTGTTGAAAAATTCAACAAAAATTTCGGTGGAGAATTAAGAATAAAAAGAAACCAAATAAGGAAGGAATTCTTCATACGTAACGTAACAATGAAGGGGAATCGCTCATGCACAAAATTGCAACGAAACAGACGAACGTTGTCTTGTTTGCAAGCGAAATTGTGGGTTTGATTAAAGGAATGAAACAGAATGTTTGGATACAGGGCAGTCGCTAGGTATTTTTCCTCCTACTGCAATCTTTGCAAGTGTTACATTCTGCTGCTCCGTGCTTTCATAAAAAGTTTTGCCGCCCTTAAATTCTAAAAATTTTGCCATCTCTAAATTCAATTGCTTGATCTTCACTTACTTCAAAATTTATGCTGCCCCTAAATTGTGGCCCCATTGCGGTCGTACCGGTTGCACCGGCTTTGACGCCGGCCCTGATTGAGTGTAAAATTGGATAAACAGGATACATTTTGAAAAAATTAGAAAATTACTACTTATTTCAACAATGTAAAAAAAGTGCGAAAAGTCACTTTTATGAAGTGCGAAATGTTAAAGACGTTGTGAGCTGTGTATATGACGTTAACTGTGAGTTATTAGGTTAACTGTGAGTTAAAACCATTTATCAGCTTTGGAAAAATCTGTAAATTATGTTCGAGGTTCGAAACACACTTTATTGGAAAATTATTTTCCGGTTTATCCCATGTCACAAACACTGAAATTCTGAATTAAATTCAATCTAAAACAAAGATGTATGAAAAAAGTCTCCCCCCCCCAAAAAAAAAATCGCTTCGACTTAATCGCCTGTTTAACTCTAGTGTACTCTAGTGTTCTCTAGTGTCTAAACGTTATTTCGAGGAGAACACGGACTCGCTGTCTCCTTCCCTGAATCGGCGTGGAATCGGAATTTCGCAATGCTGGGCAGAAGAACGGAAAAATCTCAGTAAAGTGCGACACACGGCCTGGATAGACGGATCAACTCGTTTTCATATTAATATAAAATTACAAAATACTTAGAAATAAAATCTTTAAAAATGTATAAAAATATCTTATTATCTTTAAAAACATTTAATATATAAAAAATAACTAATTCAGAAGTCAAACAACAAAAATCCAGCGTTATACCTACAAATTTTTTGTAAAAAAATAAAAAAAAAATAAAAAAAATTTTGTAGGTATAACGCTGATTTTTGTTGTTTGACTTCTGAATTAGTATTTATTCAGCGTGTTATTGTGTCTTAATTATATAAAAAATATCTTAAAATATCTTTAAAAAATCTGCACTTATAAATTTCTGCATGTATTAAAAATAATCTAATAATATTTGATTGCGAAGGAAATTAAATAAGAACAACTGGGAAAGAGAAAACCAAACACTTTTGATGATGAACTATTTTTGCAGGTTTAGGATGACTTGTATCTGTGCGTGCTTAAGTTAGTATCTCAACTGACATACTTTAGGTAGGTCATCATGGGCCGAAAGGGAAAGTAAATAGGGAACCACTGCCAAGGCCGTGGTCCCAGTTGGCCCCAAAAGTATTAGGTTATGTAATCTTTCGGGAATACAAACGTAACGCATTACAATAAAGATAGAATAAAATACTCAAGTAAGCGCAAGTTCTTTGCGCATGCGTAACTGCTCGCTGAACAAAGCCCTTATTTGCAGTGCAGACATCTTCAACAATGTGTGAATGCTTTTAGCTCTGTAAGGTAAGCCTCAGATCTACTGCTGTTTCTGTTTTAGTTTGTAAATGTGGACTTTTGCAGGTACTGTTTATTTAAAATCATAATATAATGCATTATTATTCTACGTAAAACTAAGCTGTTCAAAATTGAAAATTATTTCTTATATTATTTACTATTTAGAACTTCATTTGCACATACGAAATACAAATGCTTTGTATTGATTTCAGTGCATTTATAACCTTGGAGTTTAGTTATGTATTAAATAATTATCTTAATGTGATTACTTATGCTTTTTATAATTATCCGTTTGCATAGCTTATTCTTAAGCAATAAATTAACTTTTATGAACTGCCTAAGACCTTCTTTAGGACAGATAGGCTACTAACCCTGAGGCATTCTAGTACCATTCGAATAAAATTTATTTTCCATTCATGGATGCCTATTACAAAGAGTAAGGATATCTCAGTAAAAGTATCCTATATTTTTTTTTTTTTTTTTTTCTGAAAGTACCTCATTTTCTTTCATATTCGTTCGAAGCCGTTTCTAACGAATTTGCGACTGTAACTAGTTTAATGTAATGTTAAATGACCGTTTTACCTTGAAAACAACGTTAAATCTACTCTTTATTGCAAAGTGTTTTGTAAGTCATAAAATTGATGGGAGAAATATTTTTGCTCTTTATCCTCTTACTTTTAAGTTGTTGTAATAAAATGTACACTTCTTTGTTAATTTCAAATTATGCCTTTTTTCCCCTCTTCTTCGTACTCTTCATGAAATTAAGCAAAGGACAAAAATATTGTTTTGGCTACATGTATTCTCAAACAAAAGTAAATTTGCATGCTGTTACAGAAAGTACAGATTAATCGCGGGGTCAACTGAGTGCCACAGTTAGTTATCTTTCTCTAAACAAGACGAATTTTACATGCATCTTCCGAAAATAGGAGGGTATATGTTTGAATTTTTCTTAACACTAACCTGTACACATTTCTAGTTTTTTCTTCCCTTAAAAATTTGTATTCTTATTACATTCCATTTGGTTGAATGCTTAAGAGATTATATGCGTTAAACCTTTTTATTTTTAAGGGAAAATGTCATGAAAATATAAATGCTTAACTTTGGTTCAAAGAGTGAAATCATCTAAGGTTTAAGAAACTTTCAAAATCAAAAGAAGCTAACTCGAAACAGAAAATCGGTTCAACTGTATACACTGATCTTGTAAATATTTTGCATCATTCATTTATAGGAACCAAGGCTCAGCAACTAGCATTTCAGTAATTCGAGGCGGGATATTTGCGAACGCAATTAGAATATGCATTTTTTTCGGTACAGAACTATTACAAGGATTTTAAAATCATTTCGAAATAGTCTGTGAACGTATTTTTGATGAAACAGCAGAAGAACGGCTCGGTGAAACCTAAAACCGTTAAAGAGAAATGATTGCCAAGTGCAGCTACTCTTAAGAGATTACGTGTAACAATCGCTGTTCGCAACTACAATAAAACTGAGCTATTTTACAAAATGCTTCCTTTGAAAATTTTGACCCTCTAAAGGAGAAATTTCGGAAAAAATTGCATTAAACAATGTTAACGTTTTAATTTTGTTGAATATAGATGGCAATGATCCTCTCATTCAACGTCTTATTACAGGAAAAGTAACAAAACGAAAGCATATTAAACTTTATAATTTAGAAAATCTTTGTATATACATAATGAAATAATGCTGATAACACAAGTATTTTACATTAATTGTTTGTGCTCCTTAATTGTAAAATGGCAGCTAAATATAGAAAGGAAGTTTGTTGCTTGATACTTGCATTGCTTTCTATATTATTCGTTTTTGATCGAAATGTTATTGCCAGTCTAGATGACATTTAGTAAGCATTATTTCAATGTATATTTGCATACATTGAACAAATGTCAGAGCTCAGAGTAGATATTTTCATGATTTGGGAATTAGTTCCCATTTCGTAAAGAAGTGCAAACGTACGAGTGATCTTGCGTTGCATATCCATAAGCCAAAATAAAATGATAAAAATTTAGAGGCTGTTAACTTGTAGAATGGCTACGGATTGCTGCTAGTTTTCCCAATGGAGCATTCTTTGGGAATTTCTGAGACGCTAGCAACGGTTTTATAGTAAGTCCAATTCTTTCTTATAATGAAGTTGCTAAATAAAAATTCGAGTAATTCACAGGAAGAAAGCTAAGGTTAAGACCCTCATGATACAAATTGACTAGCGGTTGCACCGACATCTCGTTGAAACTAAAGGGTTTTACTGTCCAAAAGACTATATTATCGAAGCAGGAGTAAACAGATTTAATTAATTTAAAACATTTCATTTTAACTTAAAAAACGAAAGGAAAAGAAAGATGATTCACCTGTTAACTTAATAATTGAAAGATGAAATTTTTAGGAAACATAAGGCACCTTTCTGTATTTTTATTGTATTTTAATCTTTCTTTAGTATTGTCTAACTTTTTAACGAGTTTATTGCTACTGAGAATTTTCTACACATTTCTTACAATTCCTTTATAAATTGTTTCGATAGTACTACCCTGCATCACCGAGGCTGATTAGTAACCATGAGTTAAAATTACTCACCAATAACAGTTTCTAAGCTTGATCCCAGTGATGTACTGAGGTAGTCCCTTATGTACAGAAAGATGAAAAACTGAACTGATTCACTTCACTCATTTTGTGGAAATTAATATCGATGTCCAGCAACAGAGTGCAAAGAATACAGTAATACAGTATTTGGATTTCTTAAGTTTCATGAAATGTTTGCGCATTACTTCTGTAATTAAGGAACATATTTTAATTTTAATTTTAAATTTACTCACCCTTTTTTTTACTTACCTTGCTTTACTTATCAATTTCGTCAGAATAGAATTATACATATTAAATGTTTGAAACTTGTTATTTGGCTATAAACTGCTCTATTCTTTATTACGTATCCTTTATTCAGTAAGTTGAATTTGTAATTACCTTTTTCATTTTAGAAATAAAATAATACTATTTCGCAATTATCCATAGTATTTTGAGGGTGCAAAAGCTGTATAAATTTTTTCTTCAAAGTAAACAGTATTTAATTGTAGATTTATTATTCGATATGAACAAAATGGCTGATTCAATTAGATAACGAAGGAAAGGTTTAGGTTTTTTAATCAGCCAGGCCATCAGATCTCAAGAAATATATCAAACATCATTTGCACTTCTTTTCTATATACAGTTTTTGAAATTGACCACTTCCGTTGTTTTGTAGAAAATCATTTGGAAAACTTTAGTGTTTAACACAAATACCATAACAGCACTATGAAAGTTAGATCTCAGAATGTTGCCGTATAATAAAAACGTAAAATCTTTCAAGTTTTTATTTTGTAAATTTGACTAATCCGTAACTTTTTAAAAAGTTGAGGGATTTAAAAACAGTTATCTTATTTATAATTTAAATGTTTATTTTATATTTAAATTATTTATCGTATCAATATATATTAAAATACTTATAATTTATAATACATCCAACTGATAACTTTTATGAACATTTTGCAACGTTCTGATTTAGAATCTTCCCCTTTCTTACGTATTTTAACATTTTATAGCAAAACATCCAATAAAAATAATTGTACCAACAATTTTCCTGAGCAGCTTGAAAAATTCAGTATTCGGAAATGTTGTTGTCATAGGATAGAATTATTTATATAACTAACAAGAAAAGAAAAGTTTACCACTTTTTTCCAAAACAATTTCTTTATTTTCCTATATCATTTTCAAGAAGAAAAAGAAATTAAGCCTTAGATCGAACATTTCGATATAATTCTTTTCATGTTCAATGAAAACTTAAATGTGCTTTCCTGCAATTTTTGAATATTATCCTTTGTTTTCTTCACGAATTATAGCTACCTTATTTCTTTATATGGCTCATTTAATTGTGCATTGTAAGAATGTTGCCAAATTCGTGTGGCTTACTTTCATTTGAGAGGGAACACTTGGAGAAGAATTCGCATTACACGCATCTTTTCTTTTGCATTGAGACATAAAGTTATGCAAGAGATGTTTAGTATTGTTTTTTTGGATTCCGGTACCGGAAGTTTGCCTTTAAGACACAATGCCCTAGTCTCACAATTCTGAAGATTCAGTTTATTTTCGCAATAATAGTGATGAATATTACAATAGCTAACGCAAACGTTCAAAAACAGATAGGATAATCTAGACATGTGCAATGTAGCTTGATGTGCAGACTCGCAAGCTGGTTAAAATATATCTTTTGCTTCATAATTCATAATTTACTTTCTTCTTCCTTCCGGTCTCTTTCTCCAAATTCATAAAAAGCATTTCAGTTATTTCACTTAGATATGCAATTTCATGATAAAGAATTTGTACCTTTTTAAAACCAAATATTGCTGAAATATGTTTTGTCTTCGCGTTTGTTGAGCTCTTCATTAAAGTACTTCATGTTTAATTTTTTAATATTATTCAGTAAACATTATTAATGTATATTTATATGTAATTTTACTGTATTTTGAATGTTATTTATATATAATTAACTGGCATATATGTGATTTTACATATTTATTAATATCTGAAATAATATGTACAGAATTACCTCGATACGCTAGCAAAATTATCAATTTCAATTTTCTATTCAGATCTAAATCAAAAGAAAAAGAACTTAATATGTAAATTTAGATCATGCTAAAGTACTGCTGACATTAGATTAAATTCAAGAAAATTTTAACTCTTTTTCAAATAATGTTATTCATTCTGTTTCTTAAGGGAGAAGAATAATTTAAATATGTGTATTAATATTTAATTCCTTGGAATTCCTCATATAATGAAATGGCTGTTATTTCGCCGTTTATTTCTAGTGACTGGATTTCGTATACAAGCATCCGTCATTACGCGCTTTTAATGTGTTTCTGAAAATTATGCTGATTTATACAAATGATGTCATTTCTGGCTAATAATAGTATGTATACAATGGCCGGTTTACAGGCCTTTTAATAATGTCATAAACCTGTACGCTTTGT